CTTTTTCAATATAGATCTTCATAAATTTGACCACTAAAAACCATGCACTATACAACATTATCAATCCTAGCCTGTGTTCTGTAATGTCCTCTGCCAATGCCATTAATCTAAAACATTTCAATTTAGCCTCAGGCAGATTGTTTTTTGGACAAGGGCCAAAGGCAGCCCCCCCCCCCCCACCAAATACTGTAAGAACAGTCTCTAGGCCACTTATTAGTGTTTGTTTCTGGAACCTCTTGAGCCAGCCATCATAATCCACATTGCTCTCAGCACCACTGTCTTCCATGTTCCTATTAGGATGGCTCATGAAGCTCTACTCCAAGTGTTCGATTCCTTTCCTGTTCTGAAATCCCAAAGTACACAGTCCACCAAGAAACAGGGTCAGGCCTATCAGAGCAGTACCCCAATACCTTGTACCAACTTCTGTTTTTGTCATTATTCTTTTGTTGTAAACAGACATCTGTGGCAACTGTTATAAAAGAAAACATTGAATTGGGGCTGTTTTACATTTTCAGAGATTTATCCATTATCATCATGGCAAGAAGCATGGTGGCATGCAGGCAGATATGGTGCTGGAGAGGTAGCTGAGAGTTCCACATCCCCATTGGCAGGCAACAGGAAGAGAGAGACTGGGCCTGGTTTGAGCTTCTGAAACATCAAAGTCCATCTTCAGTGACACACTTCCTCCAAAAGTCACACATACTCTAACAAGGTCACACCTCCTAAAAGTGCCACTCCTTGGTGGCCATTCAAATCTATGAGCCCATGGGGGCATTTTGATTCAAACCACCACAGTATGTTGTACACATTTATGAAAACGCTGTGATGAAACCTGTTTGAATAATTCTAATATGATTCTGGAAGAGGAAACATTATTTATAACTTCCAAACTTAGAGTTGGGTAAATGTCTGTTTGTATCCCCTGTGCTTCTTGGAGACTCTTCTAGTGCTTTCTCTTGCTTGCAATAATAAGGATAATATAAAATAGTGACCGTGTTAATGTGGCTGGAAGGAAAGGAATAGAAATACAAATGAAATCAATAACTCTACAAATAAGTTTCATGATTCAATTCTGGCTGTATGAAGTAGACAGGAAATCTCTTGGTGGTTACCTTGATATTTCTCTTCCTTCCATAGCAGTTTATATTTTTGTCCATAGAGATTCATGATATACTGAAATTAAAAGAAGTCTTGTTTCCCGAGTAAACAGTAGGGTTCTTCTGTATTTATATTAAGCTTTGTTTTTTTTTATTTTTTTATTTTTGTATTATATAGTCTGTTTTTCTCCATTATCTGTAACCTTATATGATAAATATAATCTTTTAATCATATTTTTGGTAAATATATAATATACCCAATTACTAAAACTGAAAAATTCTACTCTTCACTGTACCTACCTCTGGAGTTTAGAGAGGAAACAATGTCAGTTGTCAGTGGTATATATCAGACTCTGGAACTTTTTGTTTCTCTTTTCTTTCTTTTTTTGCTTTTGCATCTTCTTCAGTGAGAGTTAGAAGTAAATTAAATGTTTTTATTCTCTTCTAGTTTTTCATAGGTACCTGTGAATTATATTAATCTAAAGCATAGAGCAGAGGGACATGCGCTTCCTCTATTGGTCTGAGAAGCATAGAGAGAAGAGTCATACCCTTCTCTATTGGTCTAAAGAAGTGTAGAGAGGAGGGACATCCCCTTTTCTATCTTGTAAGCGATACCAAACTAATTTTTGGATAAAGAAAATGGTAGGTTTTTGTGGTGATTTTATCAGGGCTAAATTATAACAACCAAGTTACTATTTATGATAATCAGTTTTTAGAAATATTATAGCATTACAATTACATGGAGTTATCTGCTATTAAAATGGTATAAGTCAATATTGGAATTTTATACTGAGTGACTTAGAATATATACATATATACGTTTGTATGTATATATTATTTTAAGATTAATTTTTTTCAGGCCCTTGTATTGTACCAAAAAATCAGCCAAAATTATAAAAATGTCCTATCAAATTTCTTAAGCTAATTAGGTTTTCTATTGCTGTGATAAAACTCCATGACAAGGAAAGATTTATTTGGGCTTATGGTTCCAGAGGTAAAGAGTCTGTCACGGCGGGGGGGGGGGGGGATACAACCATGGCAGCTAAATCAACAAGCTGAATGTTCATGTCTTAAATCACAAGCAGGAAGCAGAGTGCATGGGGAATGGCAGGAGTCTTTTAAACCTGTAAGTTCACTCACAGTGCCACACTCTCCAACTACAAGGGCATACCTCCTAAGCCTTCCCAAATAGTGCCAGTAACCCAGACCAACTATGCTGATATTTGTGCCTATGGGGGACACTGTCACTCAAACCACTACAGTGGCCCAGTCTTCTAATCTCAGGACTTGAAGGTCTAGGCAAAGCAGATCAGGTCTGAGACCAGCCCATGCCATGTAAAATTCACTGCCTTAAAAAGTAAATTGTTGAAAAGGGATAGAGAAAATGTATTTATGAAAACATAATTTATTTATTTATTTGTGGCTGGAGGGACAGCTGTGGGTGCTGGGAATGAAAACATAATTTACTGTTATTTAATAATTAAGGATTTCCTTGGTGCTACTGGAGTTTTTTGTTTGTTTGTCTTGAGAATTACCGTGTATTCTAGGATGGCCTTGAACCTGGGCCAACCCTACCAGCCTCAGAAGTCTGAGTGTTGCCAAGGAAATTGGGGTTCCCTTTTAGGTTCTTAGTCTTATTTGCTAATTATTGAATTTCAATTTTTAATGAAGCTCAAGAACAATTTTGTTAAAGTTTGGGAGCAAAATTATAGGCCAGGCAACCTTTAATTCTTGGCAGCAGCCAGGAGGAGGGAGATGGGAAAGAGAAAGGAAGTTAGGGTCTAATCAGTGCAACACATTCAGCAATGGAGGTCAGCAGGTAGCTGCATGGCGGAAGCGGAGACTTCAGGAAAGACTGAGAAAGCACAGAGTGGTAATGAAAGCTTGCGGAGGCTGCTGGCCAGTACCTGAAAAAAGAGGTAGAGAAATGAGAAGGAAAAGTTAAGCTTTTTGAGTCAAGACTCAAAAAAAAAACTGAGACTTTGCAGTGCTATTTAACAGAAGCCCTGTAAACTTAAGAGAGGGGCCTCTGGGAAGGAAAGGTACATTATCTCATTAAGGGGATAATTATTCCTTCCACCTCTGTAGCACAGCTTCAGGTAAATCAGCAGATTGACAGGTCCAGATGTATTAGCTTCCAAAGGAGGTGGTAATGCTCTGTAACATTCTAATCTTTCAGCAGATTGGAATGTCATGTCTCCATGCAGGTCACAAGTAGAACTCAAAATCTATTCTTTTGACCAGGAAGGAGTAGCTTTTTTTTAGTGGGCTTCACTAAGGCCAGTATATCTCCAGTTTTTAATGCTGGATTAAGAAAGTGCCACTGTGATGTTTAACTTTCTGGTTATTACCAAGGAAACAGGAAGATAGGGTCCAAAGCTGACCATGAGTGAAAGATACATCCTCGGTAACTTCTTAGCTGCCATCCTTGGAACACTGGGATTATTGGCATGAGATTTCGCTTCTGGCTTCCTTTACATTCTTGTAAGTGAGAATTCTATATAAGCGTGTTCCTTTAATAAAATATTAGTCAGTTCCAATATAAATGTTACGTCACATTGTGACCTAGAGCTACTAATGTTTGAGAGGCATTCAATTTTATTAGTCATTGGCTTTTAATTATCTGTAAACATCCACATCCACACAATATGTAATTTTTATATATGATAAAATGCACTCTTTTAAAGAAAATACTTTGAAATTTGACAAGTATCTCTAGGTATATAACCACTATATAACCACAAACAAAACACAATGTTTTCTCATGACCTCAGAGCAAGCCTCTCTCACCCACAGTCATCTTTTCTTTTTCCTTAGTCACGGATGGCCCTTTTCCATTACTGTGAATTGGTACTTCTCAACCTCAGCCCAGCCTTAACACCATTAGTATTTTAGAAAGTGGGATTTTGGAGGAAGCCAGAGTGTTGTACTTTGTCATGTAGTGATTTTAGCAGCGTCTCTGGACCTCTGCCCATCAGGTGCCAGTGGATCTCTCCTTCCACTTTCTCAGTTGTGACAACAGATACCTATTGCCAAATGCCCTCTTGGAGCAAAACTGCACCCACCTGAGAACCATGGCTTACTCTAAGATCATTCTTCCAGTGCTAGCATTTCACCAAATAGAACTGTATAGGATATGGTCTCTGTACCTCTTCCTTTCTGCTCAAAATAATGAGTCAAGATTTATAAAGGCTGTTATGCAAATGCTATTTGCTTTCTTTTTACTGAGTAGGAGGTCCATATTTAATAACAGGCTGCATTCTATTTAACTATTTCCTTTTTATGTTTCTCTGAATCTCTCATTGAATTTAACATTTATTTCTGAGAATCTGTTTTCATTAATTGATTCTTTTACTAGTTACATGTCACATTGCTCTTTTTACATATTTTTTTGATGTTGGCCACATTTTTAATTTCATGATGATTGCAGCTTTGCTTTTAATTTTTAAAAATAATATCGGATATTTTTTGGCAGGGAGTTACTTGTATATCATCTTAATTTTCTAAGGTGATCGTTTTTGTTTGGAGCTGGGCATGAAGGCACACACTTATAGCCCCAGTGCTTTGGAGTCGGAGGCAGGAACATGTTTCCTGCTCACTTTTTCCTGTCCTGCATGTGAAATATCCCATGTAGCTGTGTGCTGTGGTGCTATGTGTGCATGTGGTTTGCCTGTTAGCCATTTAGTGGCCATTCTGATAATTGTTAATTGTGATATAATATTACTGATGTTCAATTACCTTACTCAATGGCTCCAGTATACAGAGTGGAATGCTGTCATTTCCTTGTAAGAAGTTATCATTGCTTTATTTTGTTATTAGTGTTACTGTTAACCCTGTTCGCTTCAGTATGGATGTTTGATTCTATCTAGTTGTAATATTCTACCATGTTGTTTTTCTTCCTAGACAGTGATATCGGAAAACTGTTATCCTGCTTCAAAATGTCTGATAAACAAACTGAGTGGATAGAAAACTGCCGAAGACAGTTCTGTAAAACAATGAAGTCCAAGCCGGATGCAGTCAGTGGAGGTGGTGAGTGTGCTGTTTTCTACTGGGATCTGCCTGCAGAAAATTATTTTAGCAGACGCTGTGGCTCCTGCAGATTTCTACCTGTGTGTTCAGGAAACATAATGCTAATTGGGAAAGTCCACTGCCTCCCTCTTTCTCTCCGGACCTGTGATTCTAAAAGAACCAAAGGCCAAAGAATTCCACTCCCTACATACACTATCTGTTTCTGAGGAGAGCCAGTTTTGAAGATAAACTCTTTACAAAAACACTTGATATACTTTGTACACACACACACACACACACACACACACACACACACACACACACACAAAATCACTCTACACACATACATAGTCTACCTCTGCAGTCTTTGATAGCTTGGATTCTAAATGTGAGTGACCTACAGTTAGGTAATTTAAAGCTTTGTAAATTACCCTTTGTATGTTAACCTATTCTGAATTTTTCTTTAAGACATTTTTGTAATGCTTCATAATATACAATAGTCTACCCATTTGTTAACATGTTTATAATTATGAGAGAATGAGTTAGTTTTAAATTTCTGTTTGAATAAAAAGGTCCAGATGAAAGAAGGGAAGAGAAAAGGAGACACAGCTAGCAGCCTGAGCACCTGCTCGCTGACTCTACTTTTTCCACAGTGGGTGGGTGCTGCCTTTTTTTTTTTTTTTTTTACTGGCAAAGGAATGGAGAGGAATCTATTAATAAATAGTATTTGGAATTTAATTAAACCTGATTATCTTCCCAGCGACTAGATGAGAAAACTTCTCCGTGTTTTGAATGTGGGTTCCTTGTCTTTGTCTGTGTCCTTCTGGACATTAAGCTTCTGAGAGGATGGAGGAAGCTATGGGGATGGACAGCTGCGTGTTTCTACCCTCCCAGCCCCTAGGTGCAATGATGGTTCAAATGGCCCAGGATCTCCCCTGACCCCACAGAAATGTCAGTGTTTAAGAAAATAGAGCTCAGATTCTACCCCTCCTCAGCCTTACTCTTGGTTTGAATCTTTCCACCCACAAAACAACACCGTTCTGGAACATTTTTTGTTTGTTTGTTTGACTGTCTTAAGGTCACAGTAACTCCACTTGCTTTCCTCCATTTGATTAACTCTTCAGTGCCAGAAGGAAACACAGGGGTGCTGTATTTCACTGGTTGAATCTCAGATGTGACTTTTGTTACTAGACTTTTTATTCATTAGGATACAAACCATTCCAGAAATCTCTTGGTGTTTATTGTTTTTGTTTTTTCCTAGATCATTGTCAGGAGAGTCTCAGTACATTACCTGACTTGGTGTTCCTTTGGCTTTGCTACTCAATGTTTTAGTGTCTGTACATTGTGAGCAATCCAGTTCCAGGTCAACCCCAGATGCGGTATTGATTCTGAAACTGAATCGACCCCAGATGTGGTACTCCTAACTTCTTGCCTCTGATATTCTAGAGTCATCTCTATTAAAGCATCATTTTCTTCATTTTTTCTAATCAATATCTCCCATTAATCTTTTGTTAGTGATCTAATTGTTATACAGTTTAATATCTGCTCTACACATATTTTTTCTATTTTTCATTGATATTGATTGATGACTTAGCTCATAACTGAAATTCCTGTGTGTGCTTATTACAGTTTGAGTTGGTCACTGTAACACACATACAATGTATTTAATAGTTAATATTGGGAACTTTGGTTGTATATGGTAAACACCACCCATATATATTAATATTATATATTTATGTATAAATATATACACACATAATATATTTAAATCTCAAATTTCTGAATTTTCATGACTTACAGCCTAATAACTTATACAAGATACTATCTTTATAACTAAAGTACTTTTTATTCAGCAACTGGATAGCTATTATTTAATACATGATTTTTTTGATAGGATATTGCTATGTAATGTAGACTAACCCAAAACTCTTAAAAATCTGGTATCTGAGCATCTAAAGCTCTAGGATTGCAGGTATAATGACTTTTCAATCAGTTTAAATCATTTTAAATAAGTAAAATAAGGGCACAAATTTTTTTTATAATTTTTTATTCAGTGATTATTTCTAGGTTTAAAAATTATATTGTATTCCTGTGTGTATATATGTGTATATATGTATGTATATGTATGCATGTACTTGTGCACGATCGGGTGGGAGAAGTAGGATATGTGACTGACATAACATACGATGGAAGCCAGGAGAACTTGTGGGAGTCAGTTCTCTCCTTCTATCATATGGGTCCCGAGAACTGAATTCTGGTCGTTAGACACGACCTGAAAGTGCCTTTTCTGAAGAGATTTCTGGACTTTAAGAGTAATATCTTAGTTCTAGAGCACTTGCTTAGCATAGAGAATGCCCTGTGCTTACTTCGTAGCCTTACCCTAAAAACAATTTCCAAGCAGGTCGCAATAAAAGAAGAACATATTGCAGAATGATTTATGTGACAGGCATGGCTTTAGTCTTTAAAGGATCTACATAATAAAACTGTGAAAAGAGGTTCAAACGTGACCCTGACTTTTGGAAGGTGGGTCAGATTTTTTTTTTCTTTTCAGCCCTGGGCATCCCACATACAGAATTCAACAAACAAACAAATGAAAAACCCTAGAAAACAGAAGGCAAGCTGTCTGCTTAGGATCCATGGAAATAAATTTTTTTGTGTTTTCTTTCGATTCATATATCTTAGCCTGATTGATTGAGAATGACAAGAGATGCAGGAAAATAGAATGGAGCAATAAAACCCTGCTTTCTCTGACTACAGAACCAAAAAAAAAAAAAAAAAAAAAAAAAAAAAAAGGGACAGCTTCCTAAAGGCAGAAGACTTTTAGAAAGTTAACTTCTTGTCCCATGGAAACAGTATGGGAAATCGTTCTGATCCAGGCTCAATATTTATGTCCTGAAAGATCATCTGGGACAACAAAAGTATAGAAAGAATTTGTAGGTGGAGACTGCTTGTTTGTTACTGGATATCCAAAAACAAATAAGCACACAGCAACTATATTAATTACAACACTGCTTGGCCAATAGCTTAAGCATATTCCTGGCTAACTCTTATATCTTAACCCATTTCTTTTAATCTGTGTGTCGTCATGAGGCTATGGCCTACTGGTTAAGTTCCAGCCTTCTGGCATCTTTCTCATTCAGCAGCTATATGGCATCTCTCTGACCCCACCTACTCTCTTTATATATCTCTTCCAGCCTGACTGTATTTTGCCAGGGTATAAGGCAAAGCAGCTTCTTTATTAACCAATGGTAGTAAAACATATTCATAGCCTACAGAGGGGAATCCTACATCAGAAAATTTTAAACCTGAGATTCATGAGGTGAAAAGACCAACCACATGATTGTAAAATTAAAGCAAACTGTTTTGCATTCTACCAAGGACTGGCTGCTGGCTGTCTCACCCTAAATCTGGATTTGAGAGAGCAGCCTCTGCTGGCCTCTTAAAGTCCCTTATTTAGGAAAAAAGATAAGATATTCACAGGGGTGAGAGTCGGCTGCTGTACACTGTTAGAAAGGTACAGTGAAAGTGGAGGAACCAGGGTAAGGGTAACATCCTTTTTAGATCTCAGAGAAATGGTGATTGGGTTGTTAAGAGAGCTGTTCTTATAAGACCTGAGGAGACCCTAAGTGGAGAAGCGCATGGAACCCCATGTCAGAGTTTCAAAAGCAAGCCAAGAAAGTCTTAGAAGCCAAGAGAGTCAGTGCCTTTCCAACTTAGGGTAAGCAATGCAGAGGACAGGTGACCTCTCAGGACAGAAGGAGGTCAGCTGGAAGTGGAACCTTAATCAGCACACTGAAATTACCTTCAAAACTGAAGAGAGGTCTGGATGATCTCATCTAAAGCACGGCCGCCCTACAGCACGGCTAAAGGACATTCTCTCCCTTCTGGTTTCCCTACTACTCGTGAGTCTGTGATGATAGGAAAGACTTTTAAATGAAAAAATGAAGATGGACAACTTGAAAAGACTGAGAATCACAGGATGGCTGTACATACAATAATTTGTACTAAAAACTAGATAGGGTTGTACAGTCTAGGTTCTTACAAACTTAGGATTCTAATTTTGGGGAGTGGAGATTTGAGGGAAAAGAATAGATTCTTGCACATGCAAGGGTCTGAGGAACAACATACCTGGCCTCCACCTGCAGGGTAATAGGGAGAAAACTGGACTGATGTGTAGCTCACATATGCTATGACGAGATCACAGTCATGCAATCATTTCTCAGTGTGTCTGCACGGTGAATCCAGCAGACGCTTAGGTGTTGGCACGCACTGTGTTGTTCTTGTTTCAGAACCAGTTGCTGTGGTGATGGTGACTTAGTTTTCGGTAACTTTAAAACCATAAATTTCTTTCTCACTGTTTTGAAAGCTGGGTAGACAGAGGTCGGGGTTCAGGCAGATCCGGTGATAGGCTCCTTGTCTGCTTCGGAGACTGAATGCTCGCTGCCTCCTCTCCTGATGGAAGTGGGCCATGCTGCTCCTTAGCCACTTTGTAAAGGTGCTGGTCTCATCATAAGGGCAGGGCTCTCCTGGCTTGCGCACTTCCCAGATGTTTCATGTCTTTGAAAATATATTTTATCTAATATTTGTACAATATGTTTGTTCAAATCTACCTCCCATTCCTCTCCCCGCACTACCCTTTCCTCCCAATTTCTTAGGCTGGCCTCCTCTCCCTTACCTCCCTCTGTTCCTCTGATTCCCCTTCTCCTGAAGAAAACTGAATGTCCCTCCCCCAGCTGTGACCAGTTGTCCATAGCAGCCTTAGACTCGGTGGGGTGTAGCAGGCTTTCTTATTGGACTCTGGATCGCCAGCCTCCAAATAACATGGAGACTTATTAATTATGAAAGCGTATCCTTTAGCTCAGGCTTGTTTCCAACCAGCTCTTATAACTTAAGTCATCCCATTTTTATTAAGTCTATGTTCTACGTGTCTCGGTTACCTCCCCTCATTAGGCACATCCATTTGTTCTGAGCCTGCTAGCAAAACTGCATACCCAGATTCTTTCTCACCTTCCTCTCCCTCCCCCTGGAAGTCCTGCCTGTTCTCTCCTGCCTACCTATAGGCCATTCAGCTCTTTAGTAAACCAATTAGAATGCTTCTTTGCAAAGACACATCTCCACGGTGTACAAAAAGATTATCCCACAAAAGTGGGGATTAATTATCTTGTAATATGTGAATTTGGGGCAATACTAACATATGGTAGGATCAGGGTTGGGGTGTGGCATGGTCAAGAGATAATTGAAGCCAAAACCTAAGTACTCTTCAGTCTCTGCCTTCAGTTTTCATCTAAGAAAACCCCTATGCTCTTTTAAGATTATGTAAATATAATACTAGAGTCTTTTAACTACGTTCTGACCCCAGAGATCAGGAATAATTAAAGGTAGAAAGGCCAAAATTGAAAATTCTTTATAGAAAGTTCAGATCTGTCATTTAAGATTAATATACACTTTAAACAAAACAGTATTCCGTAGTTGGCTTTCAGAGCAATATTCTCTAGTTAACTTGTTTAAAATTGCTTCTTGCGCCCTCAGTTTTAGCATCTTTCACCAAAGCTAGGATGTTGGTGACCTTTGATACTTTTTTGGTTTGGGGAGATTTTGCTGGCATTTTGAGAATATTATTTCTAAAAATAAATGCAAAAACAAAAATAAGATTTTAGAAGTTGCTCCCTGGTAGCTGGAGGGTTAGAAAGTAGAATCTCCCGTCTCACTTTGTTTCCATTGTAGCAAGCGATACAGGTTTGTGCTTTTCTCTCCTCTCCTTTGAACTGGCCTGGACCTGCTCAACCTCATGTGTCAGTGGCAAATCTAATATCTCCCACACAGGTAAATACTGTGCTTTCTGCTGGGAGGTTCAAAGAAACATGTGGATTGATGTATGAGCCTGTGTGCAGAAACAGCAGCAAATTCCTTGGTGTTTGAAGAAAACATGCGTGGTTTGAATAGAGAATTCACACCAGTAATTGCTTAGCAATATGCTTTGATTTTTCCATTATTTCAGACATTGTACTTAAATACATAGCACACAACAAATATAGCTGAGCTCAATGAAGATAATTACATTATAATTGAAGGTTTAAATGGACATTTCCATTGAAAATGATGTTTCTGAGCAATATTTGTTACTGTGTTTATTGCACTTTAGATTGTTAGTCCTAACCATGAAATTAAGAATAATTATATGCGAACTTCATCACAGTGTCCTTCTACAAAACATGTCTCAAAAGTTTATATACATAGATGTTAAAAACTTTCACCTGCGGATATTATATATGCATTTATAAAAGAAATAGATTTGAAACAGTTTCAGAAATATGGTAGATTCATGCCTGTGTCTGTAAACATAGAACCAGCCCAAGCAATTGCAAACTCAAATCTGTACACAGGAATATTTCTTAAGCCATGGCTATTGGGTTTCATGTTTTTAAATACTTGTTTCATTTTGGAATCTTATAATGAATAGATTTCAATGAATCAAAACATTTCATCTTCATCTCTGGCCATCAAGATTATATTATATAGCTTGCTCTCTACGGTTACTGGCAACCACACCATTCTTTTTTGTGATTTGGTTTTTACATGTGGATCTTTGAAGAATTATAAGTTTGAAATATACTTGAATGTAAAGTAGGATCCATGCGGTTAATAAAGGTCATGGCTAGTAGTCTAAGTGTGAGAAGGGCAAACTCTTCAATTGTGACTCAAGATTACGGGAGCATAGGATATATGCAAACGCTGTGATGTTATCACATCAGCCTCGAAAGGAATCAGTTTGTCACTTCAAAATCAGAGAGCGCATGCTTTGTTTGATCTGGTCCTCAAACTGATACCATCAGCCGCAAAGTATAGACGGCATCATACGACAGATGTGAAAGCGGCATGAGCTGTGCAGTAATCCTGGTCTTAGAGCTCACTGTTTTTCTTATGATAACCTAATGAGTGCGTTAAAAACATTTAACAAATTCTGAAGTAATCCTTAGGTAATCTTAAGCATGATGGATAATTTCTTTATAGTTATATACTGAATAAGTCTATAGAGAAGTTATTAAAATTTAACTGAAATCAGAAACATGAATATTAATAGAAGTCTGCCTTTTCGATTGACCTCCTCAGAACTGTGGATTTCAGGTGACTTTTTTTTTTTTAATTCTTCTCTCACCACATTGTCTTTTCCCTCTGCTCCTCCTCAGGAGAATCTCATCGCTAGTCTATGACCTCAGGATGTACTGTCAAGCATTGTTCCTTCTTGACCTTTAAAATTCTAATTACTCTCATGTTTGTTACAGCTTTAGGAGAACTACTTGAAAATTTTGTTCTTCATCTCACCGAAAACCCTTCTGAATGCTACTTCCCTTCAGTGGAGTACACAGGTATCTTTTTAAATATTGTGATGTTTGCAAGATGCTCAGCTTGTAAGTAGGTGCTGTTTTATAGTGACATGCGTGTTGAGTGCTGATATGCGCAAGCTTTTCCATCTGAAAGTCCTCTCGCTTCACAACCTGGGATGCTGTGACCTTCATCTGCTTCTGGTCTCCAGTGCAAACTTTTTTCTTGGTAGCATTGCCTGCTCTTCTGATTCTATCATATGCCCCTCCCTGATGTCATCAGCTCATAACTATCTTACTGTGTTTGTCTGCTGTAAGATTTTAAGAAAGTTATAGCAAAAGTTTATTTTGACCCATTATTCTGTCCCAACATCAAAGAAATGCAACTGGTGATGCCTTCTTGCTTTTTGGTCTCCCTGTCATATCATTTGGTCAGCATCAGTCAGTGTGTGTGTGTTCTTTCTCTCATCTAATCCTAATAGCCTTCTGAAGACCTCACCTTGAAAATGGCGAGTCACATTAAGCTTTTGTTTCTTTTTATAAAATAATTATTATTTTCATTTCATGTGTATATGTTTTGCCTGTATGTATGTATGTGGTGTGTGTCTATGTTTTCTGTCTGTCTGTCCATCTTTCTAGTACCCAGAGACCAGAAAGAGGCACTAGGTCCCTTGGAAATGGAATTAAGAATGTGTGTAAGCTACCATGTGAGCGCTGGGAACAAATCCAGGTCTTCTGCAAGAACAGGAAGAACTTTTAACCACTGAACCATCTCTCCAGTCCCTTTAGAAAATAATACTCTTTTCTACAATATATTTTGATCATATTCACACCTGACTACTCCCAGCTATACATAGCCCACCATTCTTAATACATTGAGTCCAATTCGTGTTTCTTAAATACTCTGAGAATTGACCTACAAGGGTTTACACCGTTCTTTCTACTCTTTGCTATCAAATGGCAATCGCTTCTTAGCTAAGAGTAGGACTTTATGCCTACTGCCCTTTCTCTGTGGTGGGAGTTTGTCTGCCCTGAGCATGTACAGATCTCATGAGTACCGTCAGTCTCTAAATTCACATGGGCAATTGCCCTGCTTTTTTCTTTCCTTTCCTGAAAATGCTATTTTCTTGTAGCTGTCACTTAACAAACTTTCTGGCTCCTCTTAAGTTTCTGCTTCTAAAAATTCTCATTCGGGAGTAATCTTCACATTTCATTTCAGATAAGATTAAACAGTAGCATTTACCTACCTCATATAAATTAATGATTTTACAATTTCCATCTTCTAGTCAGAGGTTTTGGCTTTGTCAGCTTCATTGCCACACTTCTAGTTGCTAATTAAGAGCTGTAGCTGGATGCTGGCTACCATGACAGTCCTTAACCTCAGCATGTCTGCCATAACTGCCTTGCACCTATTGACTGCTGTCTTTGTATGTGTCCCGTCTTGGTAGGAGGTGCATCCAGATGGGAAACTGAGAAGTCAGCATTGATATTTGCCTTCCAGTACTACTCCTGTGTTCTTACTATACCTCTGCTGCATCTCAGATTTATTCCATTCTGTTCCTAATTGTTCTTCTTTATGTTAATTAAGGCCAGCATTATCTCTTGCCTAGGGTATCAAAGACCCTTTGCGTGCTTTTCAATTTTCAGCTCATAGTTTAACACATACATTATTGTTGTCTCTGGGGTTGTGTTTTGTTTGAGACAGATCTTCACAGTGCAACTAGCTGGCCTTGTACTTCCTGTCCTCCTGTTTCAGCTTCCCTAGGATAGTCATAAAACATTTATGCCGCACACCCAGCAAAATGATATTCTGTGCAGATAGTAAGGGTGATCCTTGGCATGCAAATCTGGATCTATTCATTCCTATACTTCTTCCCCTCAGTAGAGTCTCTTAATTGTTTTGCTTCTTTTATTTTTCCTGATGTCATCTCTTTCTCTCCATGACTTGAGTTTATTTATTTTTTTATTGAATACTGCTGTTAACACCACTGCCAACTTTCTCCTGTTCCAGATAACTGCATATTCCTTTTTTTTACCAAGCACATATTATAGCTGTGTATTAACACTTTTCTAGTTATTTGTTATGAATATTTGTGTGCTTTGCATTTTATAAGCTTACTATGGCTTTCCCGTTAGAAAAGACTGAAGGAGGAAAGGGGATACAACAGAGGGGTCCAGACGAAAAGTTATGACTACTCATATGTGGGCCCCAATAGTGAAGGTAGGAAGAAGCATTTGGATGCTGAGTACATTGTGAATATATGACTGTCCAGACCAAATAATAGGTTGACTATAAGATGTAAGAGAAAGGAGGACTCTGGTCAATGTTCTGAACGACTGAGAGGATGCACTGACTATACAGCAAAATGAAGAAGTTTCTCTCTTATATATGATGTTATATAAGTATATTAGGGTTTCTACTGGTATGATGAAATACCATGACAAAAAGCACCTTGGTGGGAAGAGTTTATTTGGCCTGTATATCCTGAATCACATTCTGTTGATGGAAACAGAGACAGGAACCAAACCAAGAAGCCTAGAGACAGGAACTGATATAGAGGCCATGGAGGAGTACTGCTTACTGACTTGCACCCCATAGCTTGCTCAGCTTGTTTTCTTGTAACACCTAGGACCAACAGTCCATGGGTAGCCTCACCCACAATGGGGTGAGCCCGGTCCTCCCAAATCATTAAGAAAATGCCAAACAGGCTTGCCTACAGCCCAGTCTCATGGAAACATTTCTCAGTTGAGGTTTCCTCCCTCAGATGATTGTAGCTTGTGTGTCAAGTTGACATAAAACTAGCCCAAACAGTAAATGTCTCTGTTCTTATGAATTTAATTTCAAAACGAGTCCAAATAGAGTGATACTTATAAACACACAGATGATTCTGTAGTAATTGCTTACATCTAATGACAAACTGAGAGAAAAGTAAAAGAAGGTATAAGACAATGAAATGGAAAAGGAAAGGGATTTGAAAAGATGAAGTCAGGCAGAGGGAACAGATAGCCCCTGAGCTTCCGTTCGTCTTAGATGTATTCTGAGGGTCTTCGTACTTTGTATTGTATGACCCTCGAAAAACCCTCTGAAGCAGGAATACTCTTAATGTTTAAAACAAGGAAACATAGACATAAAGGAGAGAAATCATAAATTGGGAAGATTTTTGAAGACATGAATTTGGAAGGAAATTGTAATTTTCTGAAGAAGTCTTAAACCTTCCCTGAGAACATAGCAGGGTTTAGCAGTGACACCTGAAGCAGGGAGTGGAAGATTCTGAAGGCATGGGCTCCTTTGACTGGAGATCTTCAGGTTGAAGGGTAGTCACCTCCGCTTTCAGCAGCTCGCTGTGGTACGTTGTTCTGCTGGATCATATGTTCCACATACAGTATGAAAATAAGATGATGTGTTTTTCTTATCAAAACACTTATCAAGGTTGATTATGTAAGGGCACATATTTCCTATCTGTCACATTTCTGAACTGTGCTGAGTGAAATTTCAGATGTTGGAGTCACTGAATGCCCTTTGTGGTCAGAAACACCCTGAATGTGAATTTAACTTATTGAAAGGGTTTAGCTGAACAGTTAGCCATGAGAGCTTTCTAGGAAAGCCAAAAATTAAGTGGCTTCCTGTTGACTGATTGTTGGATACTTATTGTGGTACAGTGAGTGAGTGCTGGCTTCTTTCAGAGCTGGTAAGTGTCCTCATCCCCATGTGTCTTCTAGATGGTAGAACAATGGCTGCTATTGTAAAATCTACCTTTAATTACTGCAAGTTGGAAAGAGCCATGTTTTAATATAAACGATGCTTCAAAACAAATTCTGGACATATTCACTGCTTTTCTGTGTTTCTTAAAGTGAGAAATCGATTGTCTTTTTAAAAAATGACAGTTTTCTAAGCCCCAAGGTAGCTGAAATTAGAACAACACAACTATCCATCTGTTGTTAGTTCCCTCAGGATCTCAGCTCACTATAAAATCTGCAAATCTGGAAAAATCAAATTAGTTCCATTGTTTATCCTCTCAGAGAAAGACGAACGGACAAACAGATAAACATTCAGCACACTTACCGTAGGTGATACACCCCTGTAGGTATCTTCGCAAACCTTACAGATGTTCATTTCTTATCAGCGCCAGTCTCTCTCACACACAAAGTATTTTGCTTTTGTAATTGCTTCTTTGCAGTGTTATATTGAATAAGCCTCACAAAGGCATAGATTCATAAAATTCTCTTCTGCTGGTACTAATTTATCTATAGACTAGAAAGATACCATCATTTCACTGTTGGCTATTAAAATGTAATTTTAGAAATCAGTTGTATTTTATTTTATGGATATGTGTTATGTATATGAATCACATGCATATCTGGTACTCACAGAGGCCAGAACTGGGCATGCAATAGTTGGGAGCTGTCATTTGGGTACAGAGAAGCTAATGTAGGCCCTCTAGAAAAGCCCCCAGAGCTCTTAACCGCTGAGTCATCTCCCCAGCCCCTAAAATGTAACTTTTTTAAAAGAATGGGGTGTTTTTTTGTTTTTATTATTACATTTTTCTGTGTGTTGGTGTTTTGCCTGTGTGATTATATGTATGCACACATGTACACCATGTGTGTGCAGCGCCCCCTAGAGGCCAGGAGGAAACGTTGGCTCCCTTGGGACTGGAGATAATTGTGAGCAACATATGGGTGCTGGAAATTGAGTCCAGGTCACCTAGAACAGCAGTGGTGCTTTTAATTTCTGAGTCATCGCTCCTGCATCTAAAATATGACTTTTAATTTGATATAAGCATATACATGTCTTTTATATTTTGATTGAATTTTGGGCCAACACATTCTTGGCTTGCCTAATATTTGTGAATGTCCGCTACTTTCAAGGGGGTGTATCGTATGAAGCTGAGTTCGAAGAAAGCTCGATAGCACACACCTAAAACCAGTGGTAGCACACAGTGAGGTGGGAACAGAAGGAAACTCACATTTTCAGGTATAGCTCCTTTGTCTCAGGTGCAGTGCTGGTACCGTTAAAACTAGCACTTGAAATGTGCCTTTGTCACTGA